ACACACACACACACACCCACACACACACACACACACACACACACACACAGTCAGTACCAGCTATTATGGGTCAATTCAGTACTTTTAGTACACACACTACCATTCAAACGTTTCACCCAATTCTTCAGCTCACCAAGGCATTTATTTGCCCAAAAAATACAGTAAAAATTGTGAAATATTATTACTGTTTAAAATAGCTGTTTTATAGTGTAAAATGTAATTTATTTCTGTGATGCGCAGCTGTATTTTCAGCATCATTACTCCAGTCTTCAGTGTCACATGATCTTCAGAAATCATTCTAATATGCTGATTTGCTGCTCAAGAAACATTTCTGATTATTATCAATGTTGAAAACAGTTGTGCTGCACAATATTTTTGTGGAAACCGTGATACATTTTATTTTTCAGGATTCACAGATGAATAGAAAGTTAAAAAGAACAGCATTTATTTGAAATAGAAATCTTTTGTAACATTAATATAAATGTCTTTACTTTCGTCACTTTTGATCAATTTAATGCACCCTTGATGAATAAAAGTACTGATTTGTTTAAAAAAAGAGAACAGTGGTCTATATAAGCCATAATATGCAGTACAAACAATTATTACACGGCTCTCTAGATTACTTGATTCTGATTGGTCATTTACAGCATTCTTTGGTCAAATAATTTTGCACAGTAATGCTAAACTGCATAGTTGTCCTGAGCCAGCGATTTCCTAAATAGTTGTGCTTCTTTCAAGTCTCTTATATTACAATACAATAAACTGACGTCCATTTATTTATTCTGTTTCACGCAAGGGTCCTAATTTTGATATGGCAAGTGTCATGACTCATTATCTTGCGTAATAAATAACTATAAAAAAAAAAACATTTGTTATATAAAGTCATTATAGAATATATTCAGTAATACTAAACTGCATAGTTGTCCTGAGCCAGCGATTTCCTAAATAGTTGTGCTTCTTTCAAGTCTCTTATATTACAATACAATAAACTGACGTCCATTTATTTATTCTGTTTCACGCAAGGGTCCTAATTTTGATATGGCAAGTGTCATGACTCATTATCTTGCTTAATAAATAACTATCAAAAAAAACCCCATTTGTTATATAAAGTCATTATAGAATATATTTGATAAAAATACATGTCAGAGAGCAGCACAATAAGATGAAATATGGCTATATTGCTCGACTTACTGTTGTGTACTCAAAGTAATAGAGGCAGTTATCAGTCAGAATGAACCACCGTCTCTTCCATGTTTTCACACGACCTCCTGAGAAAGATTATACGGATTAGAGGTGTAAAACACACAAGAAATGAATCATTTCCTCTGTGCTAATAAACTACACAGACACAGCAAGAGACATCTAGTAGAGTATACTGCCTTGACAAACCCAACTAAACTAAATTAACTAGATTTCTAGGCCTGGTGAGTGATGTTGGTCAGATTTGCCAGTCCAAAACTCTTCATCACGATGCTAGTGAGTTGTGATTGCCCGGTTAGTTGCTGTTGTTTACTGGTAAGAGTCAAAAGAGCTCATCTCCAGGACTCTGTGAGCATATGTGAGAGGCAGATCACTCTGCAGGAGAAAACGGTGCATCTGATCAGTAGTGATGGGAAAAACAACGTTTTTCGAATCTTTTGAATCAATTGCTTTGTAAAATGATTCACCGTTTTGATGCATATGCTTTTATTTGTCAGAACGGTTCATAAACTCATGCATAAAAACATATTTTAGAAACCAATTGCAGATGGATGGAAAGTGTAATATATTAAATGCAATTAACAAATCATCATTAATTATGAAGTGTCTGCATAACATGTTTTATTAATCTGTGGCGCTCGTATTGTTTGTTTTATGGAGAGCTTGGTTAATCAGGCCAATAAGAGAATCATTTTATTATACAAACATGTCATTAAAATGTCTAAGCATTTATAAAACCATGTGTATGGTAAAAACGACATAGACAATGGTTCATGTGTACGTACCTCCTGAAGGGTGCATCAGCAGAGAAATCACAGGCCAAGCAGAGCAGGAGCCAGAAGAGATGGGAAAAGGGAACACGTGACGGATCGCAGGAAACAGAAAGACAGAGATACAAGGAGAGGGAAGAAGATTTAAAAGCTTTTAGTGCTTGAGAGATCACAGAGCTCACCATGCAGAAAGACAGTAAATCTCTGAAAGTGCCAAACACTTCAGAAGTGAGTTTTTTTGTTGTTTTTTTAGGAAAGTAGAGCAAAGCACAGCAATGAAATAACAGGAAATCATGCAACGGCAATGACAGAGACCCTGCCAACAACTTCGGTTAAACAGAAACTCACCCAGTTTGAGGAGCCAGCCTTCTCTGTCAGGGTTGAAGAAAGTGTGCGTCAGGTCATTCCCATCATCCTCTGGGATCTTAAAGGGCTCGTTCTTGATGCTGTCATACAGATTCTGAAGAAAACACACAACAGTGTTTATTGAAGCTTTAAATGTGTAGTGCTATTATTTAAAAAAAAACCTTGAAACATTCAACTCGCAGCGATTTGGAGCAAAACAGAGACCTGAATAGACAATTTTTTCCCTAAATTCCAATTTATTTTTTCTAAATTCCACATTTGCCTTTTCATTTTTCTTCAGATTTTTCAATTTTCTGGATTCCATTTTAATTGTTAATTTAAATATGTGACCCTGGAGCACCAAAGCAGTCTTAAGTCGCTGGGGTATATTTGTAGCAATAGCCAAAAATACATTGCATGGGTCAAAATGATAAGTTTTTCTTTTATGCCAAAAATCCTTAGGATATTAAGTAAAGATCATGTTCCATGAAGATATTTTGTAAATTTCCTACCGCAAATATATTAAAACTTAATTTTTGATTAGTAATATGCATTGCTAAGAACTTAATTTGGACAAATTTAAAGATGATTTTCTCAATATTTAGATTTTTTTGCACCCTCAGATTCCAGATTTTCAAATAGTTGTATCTCAGCCAAATATTGTCCTATCCTAACAAACCATACATCAATGGAAAGCTTATTTATTCAGCTTTCAGATGATTTATAAATCTCAATTTAAAAAAATTGACCCTTATGACTGGTTTTGTTGTCCAGGGTCACATATTAGTAGTTTTTAATTTTAAAACCATTGAACTCATGAAACTTATACAACAACAATTTATGAAGTTTAAGAATTTTTTGTTTCTGTTTTAAAGATTTGATTAAATTGTAACAAATCAATTGAATTTCATAAAACTTTCACAATGCAATAATTTATTACAAATGTTTACAATAATAGGGCCCTATGGAATGTTTACATTTTTTTTTCAGAAATTGTGTTTTATGTTGAAATTAAGGAATAAAAAATGTATAGAATGAACATTTTAAAAAAGTAATTCCTTTTACTTTTTCGCAAAGAAAGTCCTGCACAACAATTTACGGTTAAAATTAAAACATGGAAGAAACATTGTGTGACGTGTCTTAAAAACAGTTTTACTAATTGAATTATTATTATTATTATTACTTTGAGAAGTACATTCAAACAGAGCATGGCACAGAGACATGCAGACTTCATAGAGCAGTCTTTCTGCACTTTAATATTCACAGACACTAGTCCATATCATGATTTAATTAACTGCATACACCTACTTTTGATTTATTCATGCAAAATATGCCAAATTCATTCCGCGATGTACTTTAAATGTTATTTTTATGACTGGATTCCATGATTCCCTCTGTGTTTTTTGCATCGCAGGAATCATTAATGTTCATTATTTTAACATTGAAAAAATGTACACAGTTCAGTAGAGCACACTCACTCTGAGCAGCTCCTCGGGTAAATCTCCTCCGTCGTTGATGCCTCTGTTCATGCTGATGAAGCGCTCCACTGTGGGCTTGTCCCGCACATTAGGGTTGTGCAGACTGGTGTTCAACATGATGATGGAAAACGACAGCACGTAACAGGTGTCTGCGAGGAGAACACCGAGTTTACAAACGCTCTAGCAATCAAACACTCCTGAAGTAGCAACAGGTTTGTGCTCGACACGTTCTGAACTGTTCTTAGTGTGAGAGTGTGCATGAATTACACAAGCAGTCAAACCAGACACACCTACACAATTATTACTACATGCTGTGCATATTCGAATAATAGTAAAGGCATCAAAATAACTATGAAATAACACAACTGGGAAGCATGCAAATCTGCTGGTGGGCATGCTAGATGAAAGCCTCAGCCGCTGCTGTGTTTGTGTGACCTGTGCTCTGGAAGACTCCAGGATTGCAGTGACAGTATCTCTGTGCAAAGGCCTCCATCATCCTGTCGATCTTCTGCGCCTCGCCAGGCAAGCGGAAGCTCCACAGGAACTGCCTGCAGAAACACTAATGCATCAGGAACACTGCACTAAAACTTTAAGAACAATTACAAAAACAACCAGACTTTCTGTGCATAAAAACAAAGCAAACCAAACAAGCAAGAGCTCTCTAGAACATTTGCTGACTTACCGAAGTGCTTGTACCAAGTTCAGATCCGTGAATTCGTGAAGATCAACAAAAGCCTGCAACACTTTGATATTGAAGTCATCTCTGAAAGAGAGCGAGAGGAATACTTTAAGGACATCTCTGTTTTTATATGTTTGGTTCTGACTAAACATAAGCAGCAGGGACCGACTAGCCTACAATCAACTACACGTCTGGTGAGATTGAGTCAAGTAGAGCGCTTTTCATTGTTTCAAAGCAGCTTTATAGAAAATCATGATGTTAATGTTTCTAATATGTGACCCTGGACCACAAAACCAGTCATAAGGGTCAATTTTTTTAAATTGAGATTTATACATCATCTGAAAGCTTTCCATTGATGTGTGGTTTGTTAGGATAGGACAATATTTGGTCGAGATACAACTATTAGAAAATCTGGAATCTGAGGGTGCAAAAAAATCTAAATATTGAGAAAATCATCTTTAAAGTTGTCCAAATGAAGTTCTTAGCAATGCATATTACTAATCAAAAATTAAGTTTTGATATATTTACGGTAGGAAATTTACAAAATATCTTCATGGAACATGATCTTTACTTAATATCCTAATGATTTTTGGCATAAAAGAAAAATCAATAATTTTGACCCATACAATGTATTTTTGGCTATTGCTACAAATATACCCCAGCGACTTAAGACTGCTTTTGTGCTCCAGGGTCACATTTCTTCATGGCTTATTGTTTCATCAGCAGATGAGAGCTGGGCAATAATATAGTTTGCATTTTGCAATGATTTTTAGTGCTAGGCGTGCTGTTCTTCAGCTGTTAAGACAGTTTGCAGGGTAAAAACACATAAAAGATCCTTGATAATTGTAGCATGTAACTTTAACAGATATGAATTCACAGTACCTTTCACCCAGATAGTCTCCTATTGCCGTTTTATTGAGTCCTTCTCCTTTGTACAGAAACTGGGCAATGTCCTCTGAAGTGTGTCTGAGGAGCTCATTCTCCACTAGGAATACAATGCCCTGTGAAACAGAGGGAAATATGGAGAAAAAATTAAACAACAACAAGATTTAATGTGAAAAACAAAATAAAACATCTTATGCTCCTGCCATTTGTGCTCCAGGGTCACATTTAATATGATACAAATATTTTATATTTGCAACATATTTTTATGTGTCCGAGAAACCTATATGTTTTTGATTGAATGTTAATAAAATAAATGTATACTTTTATTTAACAATGACAACATTTGTTGCATAGAGTTCGATTTCAAATAAATGTTTTTTTTTTTTTTTACTTTCTAGTCACCAGAGGATCACGGAAATAAAATGCATCACAGTTTCCACACAAATATTGTGCAGCACAACTGTTTTCAACATTGATAATAATCAGAAATGTTTGTTGAGCAGCAAATCAGCATATTAGAATGATTTCTGAAGATCATGTGACACTGAAGACTGGAGTAATGATGCTGAAAATACAGCTTTGATCACAGAAATAAATTACAGCTTAACAGATATTCACACAGAAAACAGCTGTTTTAAATTGTAATAATATTTCACAACATTATTGTTTTTACTGTATTTTTGGGAAAATAAATGCAGCCTCGGTGAGTAGAAAAGACTTTCAAAAACATTAAAACATTAACCAAACTTCTAAACGATAGTGTATATGTGTGTATATATATTAAAATGTAACCATGCTATATTATTGCTGGTAAACAATGGCATACTTTTTTTTCCAAAGCAGGGTGGTTTACCTTTTTCGGGTCCATGTTGAATTTCTTCCTGCCCACGGCCACATGTCGACTCTTCTGTAATGTTTTACTACAAAAAACAGAGAGGAGATCAATCTTGTTTTCACGTTTCAGGTGTGAAATACAAGGACTCGCTTTGAGTGTCCTACAGCATGGAGAGTTCAAGTTCATGTCAATGACCGTACTGTGTACATAGCTACTGAGAGATAACGTGTGTGTGTGTGTGTGTGTGTGAGAGCGTGTGTGTGTGAGTGTGTGTGAGTGTGAGTGTGTGTGTGTGTGTGTGTGTGTGTGTGTGTGTGTGTGTGTGTGTGTGAGTGAGTGTGAGTGTGTGCTTTTATTTGAGTGTTATCTATCACAGAAGGCAAATTGTAAAATGAAATAAAGCAAACACTGGACGGTTCCCATCAATAAAACAAGCTCATGTGAGACTAACCTGCCCTCTGTGCTGCTCTCCAGCCCCTCCACCTCAATAATGGCTTCTCTCAGCTCCTCTTTCAGTCGCTGGATCTCCAGAAACAGCGCTCCTTTCCTGCGCCGGATCTCCTCCAGCTCGGAGCGCTCCTCTGGGCTCAGGTCCGCTGGGACTGTGGAGAGATAGAAAGGGGGGAGAAATTAGGACACGGGGTCCTGGATAGGCATTTCAGTTCTCTTTCTATTCACTATACATCCAGGCCTCGTTCACACCAATCCACACAGTTTCCCACGTTAACAGTCTCTTGTTTTCTTGCTCTAGTGGACATTCTGTAATTGCTGGCCTGTGTCTAATATCATTCACTTTATGATGTGAAATGGAAATGCAAACAGGATTGGGGCCAGCACACATGCGCGGGGACTGTTTAGTTTGCATTCAGGTTATCTGTGGACTAACGGAGGACTCTTACGACACCAGCTGGAGGGTTTAAAGAGAGCAAGCCAGGACAGAACAGAGCCAAACCCACAGCAGCTCCGAAAGCAGCGCCTGCAGGCAGAGACACATACTCTGACACTCCTCGCAAAACACATTTCACAAGCTTCAGATCAAATCCTCAAGCTAATCGCTTCAAATAAAAAATGTGATACTATTAGCTTCTGCTTTTTGAACAGAGTCGGTGATATACAGAACAATGGGGTGAAAAGTGCAAGATCACTAGTGAAATGCTTCTACTTTGCATTTTTCTACTTAATGCAATTTGTTTCCATTGCACTTCAAAATATCAGCATGACAATTGTATGTTCAATTTGGACATTTGAACCAAAAATAGCAACCCACATCAATCCCTTTTCCCCAAACTTCACCCTGTTTCAAGAATTTTAATTAAAAAAGGTACAAAATAAGCCATGATTTATTCTAAACAGCAGTTGCAAAATTTTTAAAACAAAAGCTAATGATTTTTAAAAAATCTGGCAATTCAAATTATGTCAGTTTTGTCATTTGCAAATCCTAATTTTGTACAAATTCTTAAAATATATTTGAGTTTAAAATCATATAAAAAAATAATAACATTAATCTGTAAATGTCTCAAAATTTGGGGTTTGTCTCGATTTTAAATTTGGACATCTGAATTATTTTGTAAACCACAAAATACCATCAATATCTAACCCCACTTCAAGTATTTTCATTAAAAAATAAAAATGTTAAAATTTATTCTAAAACAGCAGTTACAAAAAAAAATTATACATAGGCTAACAATTACAAAAATTCTGCAAATTCAGATGATTCAGGTCATTTCATCTGTCATATTTTGTTAAATCTGCAAATTCTAAATTTGTACACAGATGCTTTATTTATAAAAAAAAAAATCTGAGAATGTCTTGGAGCTTTATGAACAAACCCTGATGATGATGTTCACCAGCAGCATCATTTGAGTCAAAAATCAGGCTGTGAATTAATGCATACTACTCTTGCAAAAATCATCCCATTCACACCAAACTTTTTCAACATGATGCCAAGATACCGAGCGGATTTTGGATATATTGAACGGTGTTGCAATGGTGATTTATTAAAGTAACAGTAAAAAAAATAGACCTCACAGATCAATGACACTTATCTACTAACATCTGATTAGTCACAAACAAACAGAAATGACCAAAATGTTTCTTAGCTGATAAAATCCCAGGTTTGTAATGTGGTCTAAGACTTGTATACTGTATGTCACTATACACAGGCCTCCAGCTAATCTTCGAGATCTTCCAGTAAGGCATGAAGAATGCAGACTGATGAGGACAAGACAGATGACAAGCACAATTAAGTTGGATCCTATACCAAAAATGAGACAAGGCTGCATCTGTTTAAGACACTGAAACATCCACCCAAAACATGTGTGACGAACAGCGGTAAAATATTACATAATGTCTCTAAGAAACTACGAATCACAGATTAATTTATTCAGTCTCTGATCAAACCTAGCAGACACATTACAGATGTAAACACCTGAGGCAGGCCAGGCGTGAATGGATCCTGCTGAAGAGCTGAATGATGAACTGTAGCTGCAGAAACGATTAGAAACGGCTGACAGTAGAGCTTAAACCTTTACAAGAACCCTAGCATCCTTCTACATGAAGCTCGAGTGAATAAGCAAACACTAAAACACAGCGCTAAACCAGCTTTACTTACTGTAGTCCAGATCATCCATTTTGGGGGCTTTGCTTTTAGGCATATATGTGTCGGAATCGAATGTCATTCAATAACCGAGAGATAAGGATATATAAAAATATACCCCACAAACGAAACGGAAATAAATAAATAACTAGGCGGAGGACCGAAAGGACTCAGACAAAGGAGGAGTTGAGACCGGAAGTTGCGTCAGTCAGCCAGTGAAATTCACGACCCGGAACGGCGGCCATCTTGGGAAGGGCTTTTTTTTTGTTTAGTTCGTGAACAAAAACATATATTTGTGAATATTATGCAAAAATGCTATTTATTATATACCAGTACTTACTCAGTACGCAGTGTTGTAACACTTTTCCCTTTAACGTCTGTATCTCAGTAACTATGCTGTTAAAACCAACTGAGGCATTTACATTTACATTTAGTCATTTAGCAGACGCTTTTATCCAAAGCGACTTACAAGTCATTGAGGCATCAGTAGGAATGATGGGAACATTTGTTTAAATTTGAACATTAATTTTTTTGTTTTTGTAAAAACAAAACAAAACAAAACAAAACAAGTACTATTATTCAAAAAGGTAGAAAATAGTAAACACACCCTGGCCTCCCCTACTTAGATCAGCTAGTAGGCCTGCTTATTGAGAAACAACACACAAGCAGGGTTTAAACAGATGACTAGCTGTATTACAAGAGTGGTTAGTCATCAATAGTTTAGAGAATGCAACACAACAAACTGTCCTAAAATAATAAAGATTGTCAGGTATATAATTAGGTCATCACCTATAACATTCTGTGGGTGGATTATATTTGGTGATTTGTCTTTGTGTGTGTTTTTGTCCAAAATTGCTTAATATGAGCCAGAGGAGGACAAATAATTCAGGCTTTCTTTCTCATCTTTACATCTTAGGAAGTTTTTACGGGCCATTATTGCCATTGGATCGCTCACTTGGGGTTTTGGCCTTTCTAAAGCTAATTTTGGAGAATATGTAGAATAAAACGAGCTATATCAAGAGCCTGATGATTTATGGCAGTGAAAATTCCTGTCACATTTGCTGAAATGCGTAGTTATGCTGCACTTTGCCTTGATAACAATAAATAATTTCACACATGCCTATCAAAATTTCCCATTCGGACCAACTGTATGATGGTGTTATGTGTTCTGTGAGTTCATGTGACAGGCTTATATTAGCCAAATAGATGTTTCAAAGAAATTACCACAACACAGCTTCGTTCTGAGAACAAAATGAACAAATATAGGATTGGCAAGGCTTTTATTAAGCATCATGTCTTAAAATCATAAATATTTTCCAATTCTTAAAAAAAAAAAACATGATCTCAGACTTCAGCAACAGTTCAATACGATAATAAAAACACTACATATCAAGTATAACATTGACATAACATAAATATCATAACTGACAAGTTACACTGTAACTATAAGTCAGTGCCAGATATTACAGAAGATTATGAAGCTTGTTTTGTCATCATGTAACAGTACTATGAACTATATGAGAACCAAAAGGAAAAATATTTGTTGAAACAATACAGTAGCTGGAATTTGGGTTCTATGTAAATGTTAAAAATAAAGGCATCATGAAAAAGTGTGTGGTCATACATCTGTGTATTATTCAGTCTGGTTCACTAACACCTTAGTGTTTTACTCTGAATCTATCAGAATAATGATTGCTTTTATTTAGGGCACTTGGTATTACAGGGATCTCCTGACTGGAAAAGTCTATAGACACTAACCAAAGGGAACATAGACAGGGCACCTAACATAGAGCCCAGCTGCACCACAGCTCCACACCACACGAGGGCGCTGTGGCCTTCATCTCGCAGGATCACTCCAATAATCACCTTCACATAGGACAAAGTGAGGACAAATATGATCCAGGTTATGACCTAAAGATGAAGGGAGAAAGAGAAAACAGAGATTATGTGAGTTTTGTTGCCCTCGCATTGCATTTGTGCTGAAGTATGTAGTACCATGCATTGCATGTAGTATCTATACAGATTTTTTCACAAATGTAGTAAGAGTCGTAATCTACACTGTTAAAAATAAAGGTTCCAAACAGGGGCTTTTGCAGTGATGCCATAGAAGAACCATTTTTAGAAGAACCTTTCAGTAAAACATTCTTAAAAGAACCATTTGTTTTTCTTAGCGTGCAGAACATTTTAGTGATCTAAATAACCTTTTTCCACTATAAAGGACCTTTTATGCAATTGAAAGGTTCCATGGATGTTAAAGGTTCTTTGTTGATCTGCTGATGCTAATAAAGAACCTTTATTCTTAAGAGTATACAATGCTATGCTCTTTTGAATTCCTTAAAACAAGGTAACAGTGCCAATAAATGTACTTTACAGTCACATTTACAGGTCTAAATTATTATGCTTGACAACTATGACAAGGGGAAAGCATGCGTGTGAGTCTTACGATGGGTGCTGCTCCTAGGTCATGATTGATCAGCAAAGGACAAGGGCTTAGTGCTGCCATGGCCATTATATATGCTCCAAACCCCGTGCCGGTCACTGTCAGAACCCCCATCAGCACCAGAGACCTTGGACATTATTAATAAAGAGAGTTAGCGTGTCAGCCAATCAAATGGAATTCAGAAATGGAATAGTTGCATGAATTTCTCTAATAATTGTTCTCACCTGATTGGTACAAACATGGCAATGAAACAAGCCACTGGATTGGCTACTGAAGACAAAGTGGCTGCAAGATGATAGGCCTGATTTCCATATGGCAAACAGGAGTAAGACTGGACAGAGGGCAGGACTGCATTGGTCAATGCATTGACCCAGGCCAGAACTACAAAAATGAAGACTAGCTCTATTCTGCTGCAGGTTCCTTTTCCAAATGAACTGCGTCGTTTTATCACCGGGCCTTCTGGGAAATCCAACATGGGCCTTTGCTCTGGAGTTTCACTGTTTGGGGATTGGCTTATGTCAATCTTCTCCACCCGCTGAGAATCATCAATATAACCTTTGCTCTTGTGTTCCCGAGCCACAGCTGGGTGGAAGTTGAGTAACAAGAAAGCGCCCAGGCACACCATCATCATCGCACTGAGGAACAGGAAGAAACCCTGAGCGGAGAAGTTTGCCGGCTGGTAGTGTGCCTGCAGTTCTCCATCGAAGCCCCAGGATGAGTTCCCCATGCTAACGTTCGCATTAGCACTGGCATTTTTACAGTGGACCACCCCTACGCCTTGGATAAGAGCCACCAGCGCTGGGACCAGGCCGCTTAGACCCTCTCCAATGAAGTAGGTGGTGAGGTACCGAGGCTGTAGACGCATCATGAAGGGTAGAAATGTGACGGATGAGGTGCAGTCCACCACAGACAGCAGGAAGCTGAGGGACAGTAGGGCAGCACTGTGTTCGCCTCCTCCAAAAGTAAGAGTGCGGTTCCAAAGGAACGCCAGGAGGAAGGTGGCCACCACACCAACCGTTATGATCGTGTAGATAACGGGCCGCTCGTCCAGCACGCCCGGTCTAAAGCGGTGCATGAGCGTGATGAAAAAAGGCCCGATGTTGGCCATCTGGATAATGATTGTGAGGTAAGAGGGCAGGTGCCAACCCTCAGAAATGGAGGGGACGATCAGAGGTAGCTCCACCCACATCCCATTAATGGCCACCCATGATCCAATGCCAAAGAGGCAGGCCAACACGTGTGTGAACAGCGACATGATGAAGGCACTGAGGTCCACACGACAAAAAGGCAACTGGTTTTTAAAGGTAATCTGAAAGACGGAAGTACAGGGAAACTAATTAGTTTTACAATAGCCCCTCCATCACTAAAACTTAAATACATTTGATATAATGAAGCAGTATCAATACTACTTTAACACTGTACTGTGCATAACAGAAAAGAGAATATTCAAGGACAGAAGCTGAGCAGCCTCAAATTTCAGATTTCGTGATGTGAAATGTGAGTAGTACTCAATGCCACAATGGTTTCCAAGGTGTTTCTAAGTGGTTGCTAGGGTGTTTTGAGTGGTTGTTAGTGTGTTCCTATGCAATAGGATTTTTTGGGTGGTTGTAGGTTGCTTACTGGACCAAGTCAAAATCTCTGTGATCTTCTGGTCCCTCCATCAGTGTAAATCTTTTTTTTTTTTTCATCTTGTCGTGGAAATTCCCAATACTAATCTGACTTCTCCACAGACAATTCAAACAATTACCAGTTGTTAATATAATGACTACAGTATCTCGAGCTAATTCCCTGAATTCCCCGAATACTTACAATACAATACAATACTTCCCTGAAGTATGGTGATGGCATCCCTTCAAGAAGCTACTATCACTACCTCAATCACACATGAGCACACAGGTCTTTAGCATCTATACACTCTCACTGTCCTTCTCAGCTGTACGCTGGTCCGACACAGGATCTTTAATACTAACTCCGTATTCAGTATTCAGCCCGAGGATGGCTCTATAGTCTTCCAATAACATTCACTGTCTTTGCGGTGGTCTTTTGAGCATAGAACCTTTAGTACTTCTATTCTTCAGCTGCGCAGCATATACCAGACACGACTCCCAAGTTGCTCTTTGGAGGAATAAAAGTTTATTCACGGCTGGGAGCCCACTGGTCACAACAACCAAGAGAGACTCCCTGAACAGAAAGATACATGTACATTTACATCTTACAGTTGAGTAAAAATCAATATCACTCTTCTTCACTGTAATTGGTTATACTGATCTGGTCATTGGTTTGTCATATGACTGTTAGTTCTACTGTTTTAAGCTCTTTTGGGGTAAGTATAGATTCTTTAATCATAGATACATGGTCTTTGATCTGAGCATCCTTAGTCTGCACTTTTCCGAACATTCTATATTGAACACACCCTTTTGACTCCTTCTGAGGCCATTACATAAAATAAGTTTTAGCATCCAGTGTTGTGTTTCCTGTACAACAATGCAACTCGCTGCTTAACCACCATAGTACGATGCATCATGTGGAGAAATTAACTAGTTAGTTGCAACTCTTTCTTGAAACTGTCGTAACATAGTCACACATTTGTCATTTCAACCATGTTGGTTCAACAATATCGGGCTGTCATTAATGGCGTCATAGGTGTAGGTGGTGAAGTAATAACTTCTGCTAATTAAACGATTCAGAATCACAATTAATGTCAGATCATTTTAATTCATTTACACAAACGGCAGAAAGCATAAACATAATTGGCATATAATTTACTCCAGTATGCATGTGGTTCATTCGGTCAACAGCTTCCTCCACAATGTAAGTTCTCAGAGATGCTGCTCTAACGAACATGTCATCTTCACTATTTATGTTTCCTATAGTTTTGCTTTATCTGATGTTTGATTCATCGCAGGATCCCTCTTACATCATACTCTGGGGTTCCCTTATGCATTTATGCACATGCGCACTCTTTATAAACAGCTTATATGCTAAAATGTATGGATTGAAATGTATTTAAACTAAATAAAGGACATCAAATGAACAGCAGCTTATCTTGCTTATCGTGCCCAAGAGCATGATCTATTTAAGTCCCCATGTCATACTTAAAGAAACTATGCTTCTAACCACAGGTCAAGGGCTGTAGCTCCAACCACACAAGTTTGCTATGTGGTTTGCGAATGTTCGTTGGAACTATGGCAACTCCGAATTGTTCAACTATGTTGGTAATGACAGAAGTCAAGACCGTAGTTGGCTAACAATGCTTTGGGAAACCAATCCAAAGATGACCATTCCTGCAGAGTTTAGCTCCAACACACCTGCCTCTAGAAGTTTCTAGTGATCCTGAAGACCTTGATTAGACGGTTCAGATGTGTTTAATTAGGGCTGGAGCTAAATTCTGCCAGAAAGTGGCCCTCTGGGAACAAGATTGGACATCACTATGGATAGTGACATTTGTCTTTGCACGCATAACTAATTGCATTGAAAAAAAAAAATATATATATACAGTATATATTCAATGGTATTTACTTCCCTTTAGCAAGTCCCATTTTTACTGCTATTGAATTTTTGCAGTTCTCTATTATGTTTCTGTTCTGGTGATGTTTGAAATCACACTTTGAATCAGAGAAGTCACATGACCTTTCCCATTCAAACTTACAGTACTAAAGCCGAAAAGCACCACAGATTACACATAAATTCACTAGACTTAATACTACACCAACCGTTCCAGTAATTACCACTGTATTCACCTTCCTTGTTCTATGACATAACCGTTTCCTTCTACCTGATTATATGATCTATTCACCCCATTCACAATAACCAGTTTGTGCTCATACCAGTGGCTAAGGACTCTTCAGTGCCCTTGAATCTCCTTTTGGCTCTTTGGTTTACAGATCACCACTTTTAGTGCACTAAACTGGATAAACACAAAAACACACACATACACATCCCACCTGATTCTCCTGAGGTTTCAGTACATTCTGACAGCAGTTTAATCAGCCTTCAGCATGTGAGTTTGAGCTCTGTTTTTCTCGCTCTTTATATTCCTGTTCGCTCTGAAATTCACCTGATGGTAATAAGAGCACGCAGGCGCGAGCTGTGTGAAGCAAGGGTCCTTTATCCCAGTGGGCTAACATACAAAACCATGTGCTCGGCTGCCTATCGAAGGGTGAACAAGGAAGGCGAGTGTAAGCATGACGCAGTAAGCCCTCCCCCTCCCTCTCTCTCTCTGTCTCTCTCTCTCTATCTCTGTCTCTCTCTCTCTGTGTCTCTCTGTCTCTCTCTCTCTATCTCTGTCTCTCTCTCTCTGTGTCTCTCTGTCTCTCTCTCTCTCTCTCTCTCTCTCTCTCTCTCCTAACAACCTTGACGTTGAGCTGAAACAGGAAGTGTAGCTTATTACATGACTGAGGCTGAAACAGCTGCCATTCAAATGATCCTTCAACCTTCACTGTAAACTCTGGCAGCAATTGTTACAAATACTATTTATTTATCTTTTTGATTGACTAAATATGGGTTGAGCACCATACAAGTGCAGCTCACAGTCTAATATTTATCATAACAGTTTTGGGAGGAACACATTTAATGGGGGAGTTGGCACATTTTTTAACATTGTGATGACTGGGAAAATGATCCTGAATTAACCCTATAATTAGAGTCTCATAGCAAGTCACCTTTGTGAAAAAGAAGTATGCCTAACTGTATTAAGACCGTAGTTGGCTAACAATGCTTTGGGAAACCAATCCAAAGATGACCATTCCTGCAGAGTTTAGCTCCAACACACCTGCCTCTAGAAGTTTCTAGTGATCCTGAAGACCTTGATTAGACGGTTCAGATGTGTTTAATTAGGGCTGGAGCTAAATTCTGCCAGAAAGTGGCCCTCTGGGAACAAGATTGGACATCACTATGGATAGTGACATTTGTCTTTGCACGCATAACTAATTGCATTGAAAAAAAAAAATATATATATACAGTATATATTCAATGGTATTTACTTCCCTTTAGCAAGTCCCATTTTTACTGCTATTGAATTTTTGCAGTTCTCTATTATGTTTCTGTTCTGGTGATGTTTGAAATCACACTTTGAATCAGAGAAGTCACATGACCTTTCCCATTCAAACTTACAGTACTAAAGCCGAAAAGCACCACAGATTACACATAAATTCACTAGACTTAATACTACACCAACTGTTCCAGTAATTACCACTGTATTCACCTTCCTTGTTCTATGACATAACCGTTTCCTTCTACCTGATTATATGATCTCTTCACCCCATTCACAATAACCAGTTTGTGCTCATACCAGTGGCTAAGGACTCTTCAGTGCCCTTGAATCTCCTTTTGGCTCTTTGGTTTACAGATCACCACTTTTAGTGCACTAAACTGGATAAACACAAAAACACACACATACACATCCCACCTGATTCTCCTGAGGTTTCAGTACATTCTGACAGCAGTTTAATCAGCCTTCAGCATGTGAGTTTGAGCTCTCTCTGGTTCTCTCTGTCTCTCTCTCTCTCTCTCTCTCTCTCTCTCTCTCCTAACAACCTTGACGTTGAGCTGAAACAGGAAGTGTAGCTTATTACATGACTGAGGCTGAAGCAGCTGCCATTCAAATGATCCTTCAACCTTCACTGTAAACTCTCAAGTCAAGTCAAGTCTGCTTTATTGTCAATTCTTCCACATGTACAGTACATACACACAGAGAATTGAAATTGCGTTACTCTCAGACCCTTGGTGCATACAGATAACACTAACAGTAGAA